AAGCCGTAGTTTAGGGCGCTTCCTATGATTGTGAACCACCCAGTGCCTGAAAACCACCAACTTTGTCTGAGGGCTTGTTCCTTTTGCGTGTAGTATCCGCTGACGGTTGTCATGAAGGCCGTTGAAATGATTGACTCCGTAAAGCCTGTAACATAGGCTGAGTATGTCGTTTTTGTCTCATGTGGTAATGGTGACTCACCTAAGAAAAAGCGTTGAACAAGAAGTCCTTGCCACGAAGCAACACCGGCAGTTGCAGCACAGATGATTGCCCAGATCATGATCACCGGGCCAAGTGTCCATCTGGTGTTGAATCTCTGCAGGAGGTATGTCATCGGGTATGATCCGACGAGCTGGCCGAAGTAGAAGATGGATGTTGCCCAGCTTAGACGCGTTGTATCCGTCTTGGGTGGTGTCACTGAACTGTCGACGATTGAGAGTTGCAGGTCTCCGGTCATGCCGAATAGTGCTGCGCTTCCGAGAATCGCCTGTTCCACAGGTTAGATGCTAGCAGCGACCGAAGGATTCTTCCCGCACCTTATCATAGTATACAAGTCCATAGCCTAGGTAGTTTCTTCAGTATTCTATACATCATGAAAGGATGCCATGCGGCCTTACCAATGACCATCGCCGGCATTAGGAAGAGATCAATCTTTCGGACGACACGGGCCTCAATCTCGGGATCAACCACCTGGGCGTGATCTCCGACCGCCTCCAAGACTGAAGATTGGTAACGGTCATGTTTCTCTGACTGTTCTGATTTCGGGTGACTCTCGGGTCCATCTCGCACGTCGCCTTGTGACGCCATCGAACTGTATACCGTCGGAAACGATGTTGATATTCCACATTCAAGCTAGCTGTATTCTGCATGTGACTTTACTTATATGCTCTCGGAAATACTGCGTAGATCCATGGAGCAACGACCCCTGCCAGGCCCAGAATCTGGGCGAAGTCCGATACCACCCATTTCCACCTCTTCTGGTCAAGGCCGGATTGCCTCATCCGTCTCCATCTTGATGACAGCTTCGGCCCCACACCATGAAACCTTTCCTGCGCAACATCGAGGAGACCGTCGGTCCAACTTGAAGATATCACTTCCTTACGACCAATAAGATGATGCTACTTGGGCGATAACATGGAACCCGATGTCGGTCGTAGTTCCAGCTCTCCGGTAGAGACACCCAGCCGATAGCATGCGCTCCTGCGAGTACACCAGGGTGGCAGCGGATTATTAATGCCTAGGTAGGTTGACAGCGATTTGTCGGCTCATCGTCGGTCTTCCAGACTCCTAGGATCGGGGGGCAGGCGTTTGGGCCAGGGATGCGGGGAAGTTGTCGAACGTTGGCGAGGAAAGCCCAAGTATATCACAGCCGCGGATGTCGCTCAACCAGGCTGCTTCGCAATTCGAGTCGGCTTGTACGTCTTCGATGCATGAACTCTCCTTCCAAAATCAGCGATCAAAATGGCCACCGCAACCGAGACTGTCACTCTCCCATACATACAGGCGCCAGAGACGTCGGCGTCCCTGGACTGGGCCGATCTAGTCGCCCTCGACCTTTCTAAATTCGACCAACCGGAGGGCAAGCATGAGCTGGCAGCCGAGCTATCGACTGCTATCGAGAAAATTGGTAAACCTATTCCAAGCTGTCCAGAAGCTTGGCATGGAAGTGGTTACTGACAAACCTTGCGGTTCCAGGCTTCTTTTATGTCATAAACCACGGCCTGAGCAGAGAAGACATCGATACACAGTTCGCTCTCGCCTCATCCGTCCTCGGGCTCTCGGATGCGGAAAAGACACCCTACCGGGCGGCACTCGAAGCCGGCGACTACAACGGGTGGAAGCCCGCTGGGACGCGAGAGTTGATCCCGGGGGTACGGGACAATTTTGAGATTTACAACATCCCCAAGTCTATTCCGGAACATGCCGAGCGGCCGCACCCCGAAGTTGTGAAGGAACACTGGGCGACCATAGAGAAGTTCTCGAGGCATGTGCATGATCATATTGTCAAGAAGCTGTTGGTCATCTTTGCTCTCGCACTAGGGTTGGAAGATGAGGACTGGTTCGTGAAAAAGCATCGCTATGATAAGAGCAGCGGGAACCATCTCAGGTACATGAAGTATTATGCGAGGAGCGAAGAGGAGAATGAGAAGCTTGACGGGGTATGGCTGAAAGGGTACGGCTTATGGTCCTCCGTCCAAGATGCACTCCCGAAGCTGACAACGTTTGCGACATCAGACACTCCGACATGGGCAGCTTGACCCTCCTCTTCCGCCAGCCCGTCGCCGCCCTCCAAGTCCTCACAAACGAAGGCACCTGGAAATGGGTGCGGCCCCAAACCGACGCCTTGACAGTCAACATCGCCGACGCACTACAATTCCTCACAAGTACCCATCCCCCGCGCTTCACGCCCACGCAAGCCGTCGCTTACTGACCCCTCCCCCAGACGGCTACCTCAAGTCCAGCATCCACCGCGTCGTCGCCCCGCCGCGGGACCAAGCACACATCAACCGCCTGGGCGTGATCTACATGGTGCGCATCGAGGACGACACGGAGCTCGTCCCGATCAAGGAGTCCCCTGTCCTGCAGCGGCGCGGCCTCGCGGATGGGGCCGTACTGGGGGCCGACGGGAAGCCTGTCACGGCCGGGGAATGGGTCCGGGAGCGCATCATCAAGAACCTGGGCAGCACGAGCTCGGCGCCCGGCGACAACGCCGTCAACGACCTCGAGGTCATCAAGGGCGTTAAGATGAGGTACTTTGACTGAACGGCGAAGGTTTCTGGTCTGGCGGCCGAGGCGTCGCGGGGGCTGGCGTATACTCAAAGAGGATTACGCTAGCAGGGACACGCGGACGGGCCTGCTGGGCCACAGGGCGGGAGCTACGCTGCCTTAGCCTGCAGGCACCAGTGGCAGTTGAAAGGAATGGTAATTGCAAACCGCCGAATGGTCCGACGCGCTCTGCTGAGAGGGAAATATCTTTGGACGGTTCCGACCTTTGGGGAAGCTCTCCCTTGGGGGAATGTGACCAATCCCGGGCTCCTTATTCTTGATTACGACCCGCTCGAGGCGACGGGCCAATCGAGTGCCGCGTTCCTGATGATCTTGGCGGGCTGGAACTGGTGTGTAGCGTAGATCCTCCCTGAAATCCCAAGGAAGCGAGACCTTTGATCTCAGCCACGCGTTTGAGGGTCAGCTGGTCGTGGCCTGTTTACGACGTGTCCAACGGCATGAATGTTGGGGTATAAAGATGAAGGCCCCCCAGTCCGTTTTCGTCGAGAATCAAGGAGGTTGACAGACATACCACTTGACAACTGAACGAAGAGACTCTCAAGATCACACTGCATCCGTCGAAATAAATCCTCAAGCAAACCCCATCCCATCGAACGACTGCTCAACCGTCCATCTCCAGCCTCAAAAACCCCAGCCCCACACCAGCCACAAACATGTCCGGAATGCCATTTACCGCCGGTAGCGAAGCGTACGGTGGCTGGCCGCACCGCCGCTCGATCATCGAATTCAGCTCGGACTTCAAGGACGCTCTCCGAGCAGACATCCACGAGGCGGAGTCCTCAGATCGCTGCGACGAGGCGACGCAGACGCCAGCATCTCCACCGAGTTCATTCAAGTCCAGCTTCTTGGACTGGTTCTTCACATCAGACCCGCTCAAGCCGAGAAAATAAGGGATACTAGGGGCACAATGGTGATATTTCTTCGGGGGTCAACAGTGTTTTGACAGCTCGGGGGTTGATGCACTGGGGATCCGGCGGATGGGGCCGTGGTGCGGGGGTTCGGGAAGTTTATCTGCCGCTTGGCGTTCACCTTGTAATATTTTTGGGACACGATGAGATGGGATGGCTGTTGCCGGCGACGGCTCATGATTACGGATGACGCTCCCTCGCCTCTATCTACGTTTGACGATTATTCGCACGATGGGAATAAAATGATACCCTTTCAATCAAGTTGTCTTCCACTGTGACTGCCAGTGTGTCGTGTCACTAGTCATGCGGCCTTGTGTCTGCCTACGTCACTCAAGCCATCCCTTAATCCAGCGTCAGCGCTCTCTTCACCGAGGGGGAGAAACAAAGTCTCTTGTGGACTCACGAAGCCACGTCCTGGAATCCTTCTGACGCATCACACGAATCGCTCCCTATTATTTGCTGTGCATGAGCCACAGACGTGACTCTGTTGGCCGCTGATCAGTAAGCCTACGCCATGCCCAACATCGAAGCGCCAGCTCAGCGAAAAGAAGCACAGGAGGAAGGGCTGGGCATTCTTGTGTCTTCTCGTCGAATTCAAGGGAGGACCCTGAGTGACGCACGTACCGGGCGGGTGGGCTCACTGGCGCAGGCTGTGCCCACGCTGCGCCCAGCGTGTATGGCAGCGGACCTAGCCGGCCTACGTCATTGGCCGATCCCGACCGGCGATCGGGGGCCCCCAGCCCCGGCTAGGCCGCCCGCACCTGTCAGAGGCCACTGAGATCCGCGGGACCCACAAGCACGGAACTGCCCCCCGGGATCCACCCTCCCGTCAGCTGCACCTTCAGCTCCCCCGTTTTGAGTTAATGTCAAACAGAATCTGGGTGGCAGTGGTGTAAGGCTGAATTTTTGAATGTAGGCTGAAGCGTTATGCTTTGGGTAATTGGTCAATGGGCCAATTTGTGCCATCATGCTACGTCTTCCATGATCCTTCCGCACGCTAGAAGGCTTCTAGAAGGCAGAATTGCCCGGGCGATCCTGCGTCTTGGTGAAGCTTGTCTCTAGCCGGTAAGGCAGTCACGTCAGAGCTACGACTGCCTAGCATATTCAAAGAATATTCTATTTAATGAAGGCAGTTGCGCGTTGCAACTTGTCATCACTTCTTACTCCATCAAAACAACAAGCAGCTGCATGGTCACAACTTCGAACCATCTCACGAACATTTCAATACCACCTCCACACGCAAACAATCCTCAATTACAAACCCGAAAACCAGTACACGTCCACTTCTAAGACAGACAACTCTCAAAATGTGTCTTCCATTTTCCTCAAAGAAACATACCTACGAAAAGTCCGAGTACGCGCCCAGGCCAGCACCGGCGTGGAGCAGCAATTACGGCACCTCAGGCCGAAACACCCTTCATCGCAATGGCGACCACAGACACCACTACACCAGCCCCGGCTTCGCATATGTCGGAGCGACCGGAGGTGACGGCGGCGGCGGAGGACATCATGGATTCGGCGGTGGTGATGGCGGAGGCGGCGGTTGCGGAGGAGGTGGTGGTGACGGAGGCGGCGGCGGCGGCGGCGGCGGTGGTGGCTGCTAAAGGGTCCGATTCAAGACATACGCGACATGACTGATGGAGTTTTCGGGGACGCTGTATTGATACCTGTTTTATGACCCATGATACCTGAGCCAGAAAGCTGGCAATAGACTTTGACGATACTCTGCGCCCCTCGACTGGCCAATCACACGATTTGGCGTGCATAAGCGTGATTTTGTTGCGATAGGCCACTTCTCCCACCTCTGCCTGATTTGCAGCCCCTCATTTCTATCTTCCAAGGACCGTGTGGCTGCGCATTCGACCTCGACCTACACAAGACGCCCACGATGCCACTCTGCAAAACATGCGAGGCCTTTGACCTAGCCAGTCTACTCGACCAGGACCGCGAAGTTCATGACCTCGTCTTCCACAGGTCTATCTCAAAGCTCAGGACCAGTGCATCTATATGCGATTTCTGTCGACTGCTCTGGACGACCCTGACAAAAGACCAAGCCGAAGACAGCGAGGTTTTGTCCACACTCGAGGGAGATGATGACCACCAGTCCCCGGTCGTCCTTCGCGGTATCCAGTACGTCAATGATGACTACGAACCAGGCGGTGTATTTCGCTGCAAGGTCCGATGCGACCGCTTTCGACTCGCAGGATATGTGAGCTTCTACTCGACAGAAGGTGACGGTAATCATGTAACGCATCTAGACAACATCATCTTCAGCCGGAGGATCAAGCCAGCTGAGCAACAATTTGACCTGCTGCGAGAATGGGCTGATGACTGCGATCAGAATCACTCAGGCTGTCATCGCGATATTAGCAAGTTGCCAACACGGGTGATCGATATCGGGTTGGACGGAAAACAAGAGCCTCGACTGGTGGAGACGGATGGGGAAATAGGCCGGTACATGACGCTGAGTCACTGCTGGGGCCTTCATCCCGTCATCCAGACAACAAGCCTGACAATTGGCGACCACCTCAAAGAACTACCACTTTCGAAGCTTCCCAACACCTTCAGGGATGCGGTCATTGTGACCAGGGCTATGGGCATCCAGTACTTGTGGATCGACTCCTTGTGCATTATCCAAGACTCTAAACACGTTTGGGAACGGGAAAGCGCCAACATGGGTTCGATCTACTTTTCATCTTACCTCACGATTGCGGCATCGGGATCAACAGACTCAAGAGGTGGTTGCTTCATTCCTCGGGACACCTCCAGCCACGTAGAGCTCAGGTGCTCACAGCCAGACGGGAATGACTCGATCCGAGTCATGGTCCGACCTCAACCTGGAGACTTCATCCATCTCCCCAAGAGAACTCTACATACGCGGGCCTGGGTCCTCCAGGAAAAGATCCTTTCCTCTCGCATGATAAATTTCGATACCGACCAGCTGCTCTGGCAATGCCAAGAGACCCTCGTCGCAGAAGACGGAATTCCTCCAGGGTGGGAATTTCCCGCAGGGCGCTTCTTCACAGAGCCGGATGACCTCAATTTGTCCTTCCCATATACCACAGACTCGAGCGAGGGATCCAGCTTTGAGGCCGACTGGAATGGCATGGTGGCACACTACGCCAGCCGAGGTATCACGAAGTCCTTCGACAAACTCCCAGCCCTCTCGGGTCTAGCCAAGGCTATGGAAGATCGTACGGGGATTGGGTATGCTGCGGGACTCTGGAAGGCAAATCTCGCACACAGCCTGCTCTGGGGCCGGGTTGGGCCTTGGCTGAGGACACCGACGGAAGGGTATCGCGCTCCGAGCTGGTCTTGGGCAGCCTTGGAGGGAGGGATTTCCATGACAATTGGAAACGCGCATGGATTGGATGTTTTCGAGCCCATGGTGCAGGATATGGAACCGACGATTGAACCAAGCGGTCTTGATCCGAGGGGAATGATCAATTCCGGTCATCTTATGCTATCTGGAAGAGTCAGGACGTTTGACAAACGGCAGAACCCTCAGGACCCAGGATATTTCCACGTTGTAGAGGTGAATTCTCGCGCAGAAGGCGCGTTGTCCGATTACCTGCTGGAAAAAGGTGAAGTTGCTGGTCAAATAATCTTCGACGAGCCTTTCAAGGCCAACGATCAGCCCTTGTACTGCTTGCAGGTGGTGCGTCGGAAGGAGAATCACACTAGCTGGCACGGGCTCATCTTGGAGTCTACCGGGAGAGAGAAGGAGTTCAGACGCCTTGGCCGTTGCTTTACCGAATACGTCCACAACCCGATGTGGTTCGAAGATGTACCCATGGAACGGATCAAGATCATTTGATTACTGTTTTAATTTCATGGCTTCTGAGCCGGACAACCGGCACTAGGCTATTCTTACTCCTAACTCTGCCCTAGTTATCTGACATGTCCTGCACCAGCTGTAAGGGCGGCTAGATTACCAGGGTCATGTCGGTTAGATACCAAAGCCGTATTCCCCTCGAGGAGGAAATACTTCACAAAGTTACATCCCATGGGCTACAAATACTTGGAGATTTGTCCTAGTGCCCCCCAGTACAAGCCTGACTTTGGTCTGTGGCCATCTTCTTACCTGAAATAGAGTACAAAATGTGCCAGAATCCAACCGGCTCAGCCCATACTAAAACTAAGCCCATGTTTCTTCATCACCATGCTCAGCCCCCGCGGCCCATACGCACGAGGATCCGGATCCGCCCACAGCATCTCCATCGCCTTCGCCGCCACCTTCACCCCTCCCGGCGCCTGCGTGTTGCAGTTCAGTCCCATCCTAAAGCGATCAGCAAGCTGCGGTCGCCTGCAAAACGAAGCCAGAATACACGCCGGCCAGAGCATCATCCTGCGAAACGGCGCTGCGCTTGAGTACACTGCCCACACCAGTGGCAAAACCTTGTCTATGTGCAAATCGATTTCGGCGCAGAGATCCCCGCGCTCATGCAAGTCTTCATGAAATGCAGAGTGAAGATATACGATTAGGGCGGTACGATAGATGTCGACTGCTGGGCCCTGCTGGTATCGCGGACTTGAACCCTCACCGGTGAGAACGTCAGAGAACGCATCCCAAGCTTCTAGGCGTTCCACAAGGTCCTGATAGGCATCGTACGACGCTTCAACTTTGGCGTTGGTGAGCTCCTCCAAGCGTCGTTTCTCGACCAGACTAGCTATCTTGGGTATCATCTCAAACAGCCCGTGTCCGAAGCCGAGCATGAAACCGCAGGACTTGTACTCGCGGAGGAAGCTCAAAGATTCTAGGAATGGGTCCAGCATGATCGGATGATCTTCCATTGCCCCTCGTGGCGTGATTGCCAATTTCAAGGCCATGAATGAGTAGATCTCCAGCAGGAAGCCTCTGATATGGCCCAGCCAGTCGGAGCTTGAATTTCGCGCTGTTTTTGTGAGGCTATGAACGTAATGACGGCTGGCTTTGATGTGATGGAACACTGAGCCGTTTATATCTCCTTGTGTATGCTAACACACTTCAGTAAACATGCCTCAATGAAGACCTCCCGAGTATCGCTTACCTCATAGACACAGAGCAGAAGGAGCATCAGCAACACATACTGGGCCTTCTCCTCCTTGCCGCTCCCAAAGTAAGGCATGACTTCATTGGCGAGAACTTTCTGCAGCCCGGACAAGACACGTGCATAGTGACCGCGGGTGGCCACCTCCACATGTCGAGCACCGGGATCGAGGGCAACCATGTGGGCCCCGCCGATGCCCAGAATGCAATCCATAATGAGCCCGTCCGACAGTGCCAAGGGGAGTACGTAGTTTATGAAAGGGTTCCCATCGGCACTTGGGCCTCGCGCTAAGATATCCGCCGTGTTGGAAAGGTATTGCTCATACAGCTGCCGGGAGGTGTCACTCAGATTTGACAGGATCCCAGGGGTAAGAGAAGCGCGCAAAAATAGGCCGTTGGCTGATCGGCCTTCTGAGACTACCGATTGAGCGAGGATCACTGCTTCAGAGTGGTCCATGGCAGGTATCTCTTTCGCCGGAGGGCTTGGTTCGTCTGATGAACTAGACGAGTGCTCTTTCCAGTCGCTTCTAGTCCGGGATGTATTCTGGTTGGCGTTATTCTCGTTGACAGGCCATGAGCACTCCCGCCCACTGCGGCTGCATGATGTGCAGCTCGGCTTGACTTCATCACACTTTCTCCGCCGCGCGCGGCATGACAAACAGCCGTTCTTGGAGCGAGGTGTGTTGCGGCGATACTTTGTCGGGAACTTGGCGGTTCGGATCGGGAGGCCTGCCGCACTTCCCACGTCTGGGGAGAGGTTCGTGCTAGGTCGGATCGACGCAACTGACATGATTCTGACAGGGTGCACTGGCTGGAATTGACGGAATGCGGTGGAGATACAAATCATTGAGGCTACCGAAGACGTTGAAGTGTCCGCCTCTTGTGATCTGCCTGGAGATCTGGTGAGTCTTCGAGATATGTCAAGAAATATTGATCTTTTGAAGTTGCCTGCGAGATCTACATGCTGCGCAGCGTAGGGCGAAGGATCGGCTCAGCCATGCTTGGCGTCAGATCAAAGTCCCCCTGTATTCGAGTCGCTTACTACGTACTGCTCCAGGAAGGCATGTTTCGATGGACGATGCTCCAAGTCATCAACGTAAATTGTGTCGTAGAATATCGAAAGCTATGACTTAGTCAATTCAAAGATGGCTTTCCACGGGTCGTCTTTTCTCGAAACCCTCACACAGAAACGGCGCACTTGCGGACATTGAAGACTCGATCTTCTCCAGTGAAAGTGACAGCCCGCTAGCGGTAAGGACACTAACGACTGCAGAAATCTCTTATCTAAACGCTTATCTATCCATCATCTCAACCAGGAGGCCAATCGGGCCCAGTGTGGCTTGCAGTGAGCCGACGTCAGCGCGGCCGGGCCGGTCGTACGGCCCTCAAGATGGCGGAAATAAGCATGCGGGTAAGCTGCATGTCGGCAAAATCAAGCTTCTCTAGAATGCCTAGCAAATGTGTTTTTCGATACGAGCAAAGATCACAGCGTATATCACACAACTACGCCGTATCACTGCTGCCGGCAGAACAACAGCTGGCCAGCTGAGGATTAGCTGGCTCTGGTATGTTGAGTTTTTACCATAAACGGAATCTAAAATTGACGGTCATTTATGAATTCTACAGCCAGTTCTGTCGTCACTTTCCATTTCTGGTCTCATTAATCGGGCGCATGCTGAGGCGAGAATAGTTCACTTTAGCCCTGCCCCAAATTGCCAGCGTCAAATAGGCTGGCGTCGGGCCCTGAGAGTCTGAACTGGTGATGCCTCGAATTCTATAAGAACTGAGCAACTGGAAGTCTGGAAATTCTTTCTCTGTCCTTTGGTTCCACATTACAATACGTACAACCTTCTCGCCATCAAACCTTGCCATGAGATTAACACTTACCAGCGGGGTTTTGGGCCTCATCAGTCTTTCACTAGGCGCTACAATCCCCAGTCATGAATCTCAAAACGCTTTAGCTTTTGCGTACACGGTATATCGCAGCTCCGTTCCTGAACCATGTCAACATGTATAAGACTGACGTAGAACATATAGTACGGCTATGCTCTGTATGCCTACGGAAACGTCGCGAAGCCGATCCTCAGAGAAATCCCGCTGAAACCAAACATCAACCTCCCCGACCCAGAGCCAAATGAGCCAGGCGGTGTGGGGGTTGTACGCCCTAACGCCGACACCATGTATTCAATCTTGTTCATTGACCTGTCTTCCGATGACATTGTGGTCAACATTCCAGAGATGCCACAGGATCGGTACTGGGTCTTTCCCATATGCACGCCGTGAGTAGTCAAATGCACCTCAATTACTTCTTCAGCACTCAAATTTCCTCGAACTCAGGTACGGCGACAATCTGATCAACATTGGAAACCTTGGAATCAGCAAGCCTGGAGAGTATCTCATCCAGTACGACGCGGACACCTACGGCCTCGAGACCGAGAATATCCCTGATGGCTTCGCCGGGGTCATCAAGTATCCCATGGCCTATGGACTTGTGAACTCTAGAATCCTCACAGACCGATCCGAGGAAGACGTCAAGATTGTCCAAAAGCTTCAGCTGGGCTTCAATGTTTCTCGCACTATCGCCAGACCGGGGCCGCCGATCACTCCGCCACTGGATCTAACCGTGTTCACCAAACCAGAGTACAACGACGGTAACATGTCTACCTATCACGAGGCCGTGATGAAAGTCGCTGCTGCGCTCGCTCCGTACAATCCGCCCTACGTTACCTCGGACAGGGATTGGGTCGCCGCGGAGCTGCGCAAGGCGGGTTTCAACAATGGGACATTCACTCAACCACGAGGATCCAACCTGACGGCGGCGGTCGAGCTTGCCAACAAGACGTCCCTCGCTTTCATGGACAGGCCTGGTGTTCGGCAAGATGTTGGGAATGACTGGGTCATTGCCTCCAAAGGGTACATCGGGAAGTTTGACTCTCACTACGAAGCTCGGTACCAGATTGCAACCACAGCGTACTTGGCTCTTGACCATTCAGAGAGCGTGTACCCCTTTTATGAAGGGGATTTTGTGGTCAAAGAGGGGAAGTCTATTTTATTTACCTTCCCCGAGCCCCCGAAAATCAGGAATGGAGGGTTTTGGAGTCTCACGGTATACGGTCCGGACCAAGATCTCGTTCCGAACGACATGGAGAAGCACATGGTTGGTGACAGGAGCAATCTTACATTTCCAGATGGAACTCTAGTTGAGCAGGGTGATGATAGAGAGTTTGAAGTTCTGCTCCAAGCCTCTGATGTCGAGCCTCCTGCCAACTGGACAGCTAAGTGAGTTACTCATTGGATGTTCATTGAGCAACAAATTGCTAACAAAGACGTGCAGCTGGTTGCCAATCACTCCAGGAGGGGCCACAATATCTGTCACTCGTGAGTTAAGGCCGCTTAGGCACATATAATGCGACAGTCTGGTGCAAGCTTGCTGACCTCCATCCTAGTCCGTTGGTACGGAGCAGAAGAATACATGGTCAACGGGTCGTACGTCCACCCTCAGATGTCGACTATCGATGCGGTACGAAGTTGATGTGGCTCGCCAAATTCACGAGACCGCTTCACAGGGAATATTTCAGATGAACGCTCATTGAGCTTTAGATTAGGTCCGTAAGAGAAATAAACTATTCAATTCCAACCCTTCGGGGGGGTTACCTATACATGCAACTTAATAAGCTACCAATGAGTCAAACCACCGTGAGAACAAGTCAATCTGGCTCTCCTTCGCAATCGGAAGAACCTGGAATCCCTCACCCAGCTCCATGACAGTTGCATTAGCATCAGTCGCCGGCGCCCAGTCCGCAAGCCCCTCCCCGTTAGGATTTCCGTTCTTGATGAAGGCAACCCAGTACGCATTCATCGTCTCAGCAATCGCATAATCCTCGCTCGTCCACGGAAGATCCGTTCCGTACAGGTTGTTCATCGCGTAGTTGATCTCGCTCTCGTGGTACGCCCCCTGGGTCTGACCGGGCGGCGCATGGTCCCAGATGTAATTGTAGACTGAAGAGGTGGCGTTCTTGGCCCACAGCTGGGACCAGAAGTACGTGCCAACCTTGGACCGGTCGGTGAATTGCGCATTATAGGCCGCGGAGGCGGTTGCGGAGTCGTTGGCGGGGTATGCTGCGAGGAATCCTTGTTGCCAGGTGCCGTAGGTCTCGTTGATGTCGGAGAGGTACGTCGCGAGGGTGATGTTGAGTCCGTATGAGGCGCCGCTCTCGTCTTTGGTGTTGCCCGTCATGATGGGGACGTCCTGTGCGATGCCCTTCTCCAGGGTGTTGAGGTAGGTGTCGGGCATGGCGTAGTAATCGAGCGTGGCGGTGAAGTCGAACTCCGACGACATGAACTCGGTGACCAGGTCGTCCATCGGCAGTGCGCGCATGCAGGCAATGTCGGAGCAGTTCAGGGACGCCATGAACCTCGCCGCAGTGTCCATGTTCACATCCAAAGTTCTATAGTTCTCCGCAAGGCTCGTGGCCAAAGGGTCGTGAGGGTCCCGAACACCGCTCTGGATGATGGCGCCGTGGATGGTGACATTATGGAGCGGGCTGTTCAGAATATGGTACGTCGCTGCGGACCCGGCAGATTGGCCCATGACCGTGATGTGATCCGGGTCACCACCAAACTGGGCAATGTTCTCATGGATCCAAGTAAGAGCCGCGAACTGGTCGAGCATTCCCCAGTTACCAGAGCTGTTGGACCCAGCACTCGCAAGCCTCTCCTCGTTGAGCTCAGGAGTAGCAAGCCACCCGAAGGAACCAGTGCGGTAGTTGTAGTTGACAAACACCACGCCCTTATCAGCCGTGCCGGCTCCGTCGAAAAGGGGGAATGAGGAGCTGGACCCGGCCGGGTAGCTCCACATCACGACCGGCAACTTGGCGGTCGACGAGTTCGCCGCGCTCCAGATGTTGAGGCTCAGGCAGTCCTCGCCGATGGAGTACTCGGTTTCGCCGGTGCCCAGTGCGGACGGGCAGGCGTTCCCAAAGTCTTTGGCATCGAGGGTCGTGTTCCAGGGAGTCACGGGCTGGGGAGGCTTGAAACGGTTTTCGCCGGCGGTGGTTGCGGCGAAGGGGATGCCTTTCCAGACGGTGATATCGGCCCAGTTGGTGAGCGACATGTTGGCCGGGGTGCTGTTGAAAGCAGGATAGCCCTGAACGGATCCATACTTTGTTTGGACAACAGTTGAGAAAGCCGCATTGGCCTCCGCGAGGAGTGTCG